ACACACACACACACACACACACACACACACACACACACACACACACACACACACACACACACACACACACACACACACACACACACACACACACACACACACTTAGGTTTACAGAGAGGGATTTAACACCTGAATAAATCTCTTAACGCTCGGTGTAAAACATCCCGGCAGCGTGCGTCACTTTGGGGCGATCAGAGAGAGATTCACTTTCCTGTTAACACAGAGAATCTCTTTCAGCTCAGCTCAGGTTAATGCAACATTTAGACTTTCTGAGAGGACCTTTAATCTTTGATTGATCCGGCGCTTTAGGCTGCTAACAGGCCGGGGGCCGAAACGTAATACTCTGTTAAAAAGAGCGGAAAGATTCTCTTACACGGCGAGTAACATGAATATTAAAATTACAATAAAAATAAGAAAAAAATATTCAAGAGAAATGTGTAGAAACTTAGGTATTGGAATATAATTTAAAAAAATACAATACATTTATTATGGAATAAAAATAAATAAATAATAATATCTAGAATAGACAAATATATAATATAATGAAAATACCGCAAAAAAATATGTTAATATACTTAATTGCATCTCTTGTAAGAACATGAATAATTTATTTTGACTTGCATATTTTTCATTTCTAAATTCTAATGTATTCCTGGTTTTAGTCCATGCCTATGTGGAGTGAATTGTAAATGTTGTTTATTTCTTTCTCACTGTGCTCACGTACCCAGGTGGTCGAAGCCCCGGTACATGATGCAGGACTCGGTGGCGTCGATGCCCTGGATCTTGAAGCGGCCCAGGGGTCCGGTCGGCAGCGCGTTGTAGTCGTGCTGCCAGCGGTCCAAACCCTGGAACCGGACTTTGGCCCCGCAGCGGAGCAGCCACTCTGCGGCGGCCCGGTCCGGACCCACCGTCTGGATCCGCTCATAGTCCACTCTGAGGGGGGGGGGAATTCATTTTATTTTATTTGTTTATTCCACATATGGCAGTTATTTTAAAACAAAACATGTACACTTATACTGTTTTTTTTTATAGCGCATGGTGGAAAGGAGCAGAGAGAAGAAAATATTATTTTACCTACCCCTTCTTACAAAAAATAGCAAACAAAAAAATGTTTAAAAAGTAAAATAAAAGCAATATTCTTTCAGTCACAGTTGCTTACAAATCTTGAAACATAAAACCAGAACACAATCAAAAGTCAACTTCATACTGTCTAAATACACTTTCTTCATACATTTTCTCAAACATAAAAATGTTCTGACAGCCCTTTAAATCATTCGGCAAAGAATTCCACTTCTTTACGCCAAGAGACACATCTGCTTTAAAGTAGTACGTGCAAACTGATGCTTAAAATGTAATTTCCTCCTACATATTAAAGTGCCAGAGAAGAGGAGGAGGTGAAGTCAAGGAGGGTCACAGGAAATAAAAGTCTGATTTAAGAGTTGATTATATTTCACATCATTAATCTGAATCTGTAGAGTAACTAAAGGTATTAAATATATGTAGTAGTAAAGTACAACATTAACCTCTGAATTGTAGTGGAGTAGAAATGCAAAGTAGCATGAAATGAAATACTCAATTAAAGTACAAGTCCCTCAAGATTGTACTTAAGTTCAGTACTTGAGTAAATGTAGTTAGTTATTTTACACCACTGGATATGATCAGTTATCTTATCTCCATGCATTGCAGTGTAGCCATAAGCTAGAAATTGCAGCTCTATCATTTATCCATGTTGCAATAATATATATATTGAATGATTTTACTTGTTAAACACTGCATTGAGCCATCCCCAGAAGTGTCTGCGGCTGCTCTCCCTCTGAGACACTGCGCACTGCACTGCCCGAGTTAACAGCCTCATATCTGAAAAACACAAAGAAAATAAACTATATTATAAAACTACACTAATATATCTTTCGGTATGCTATTGCTCCAACAAGGTACACAAATAAATACTGAAAATGCGTCACAGACAGAATAATATCACCTTCCTCGAGCTCTGTTTACATTTGAGACGCGTCCATTGCTCTGACCTCATGTACCCCTTACGTACAGAAAAGCGTGCTCGCTGATTGGCTGAACCGAGAGCACCGTAAGGGGGCGTGTTAATGTCTCAGATTTCAGGATGTAGCATCATGCTAACAGCAGGAAACAGGAGGGAGGAGGAGACTCAAAACTGATACTCTGAAGGTGTTTCTGATAGTTATACAATGGAGTGTGAGGGTTACTGAACTTCGTGATCATGATCCGGACTTTTTGTGGAGCGACTGTGAAGGCTGTCGGGACCGCGAGGCCCATAAAGGAGTTCCGACGGCTACACAGGTAAAACATGCTAATGCTGATCAGGTGTTACTTGGTAGGATAGAGAATTAGCAGACTTGCATCTACCTGCATGGATACTTAATGCATGTTTGTTTTAACACATATAACATCAAAAGATTCATGCTATTTTAGAAGGAGGAGGTGAACAATGTTTGTATAGGATTATTTTTAAATGATATCTTGAAGCAAAATGACAAAACATATCTTCAAATCAAGCACATTTATGTCTCTGAATCTTATGTAATACCAATCTTTTAAAGGTGTCACATTTCAGCTTTAATTGCACAGCTGAGTAGCCTACAAAAAGTTGGCAACTTTAAAAACAGGTTATGTGGATTATATCACATGTATTTATTTATTGTCCTTATACCTTTTTATTTAATTAAAATCCTGAAATGTTTTTGGTGCATAGCCAAGGATTGTCTTTCTGTTGGGAGTCATTTGTAATTTCTAATGGGTCTATGTGTTTTTTAGGGGATTTGACTTTAAGACACGCAATATAACACTGCACTGCTGTATGCATATGTTAAAAATTAAAGAGGAAAAATACACAATCATGTCTGGAGACTTATTCCCATTGTGGTCCCCTAGTATAATAACTCTTATCATGCCATAAGATAATAAGAAACGAACATAATTGCCCATAAGAACTTTGTCAGTATATTCAGTTACAAGCACATATTGAAAGGCTCCTTCAAAAGTTAAATAAAAGCAGCATAACACAAAATAAAGGAAGTAACGTTTATTAAATACATTTCCTTTCATTCAACAGGATCACACAGTGCTTTACAAGAGTATAAATTAAATTAAATGAGGCCATAAAAACAGCCAAAAAAGAGAAACCTCATTAATGTATTGAGTGCAGTTCATGGACGAAGAACATTTAGTTCCCGGTGCAAAATAAAACATATGGTGCAAACAACACGACACGCAGTCTGCTACAGGACAACATGCAAGCTGTGGAGAAATAACCTGAACTTTGAAACCAATTATTTCTTAACACCACAAGTGAGAAACTAACTTTTTTAATAATTGCCAGTCAGAGCCAAGGGCATTCAGCTGTAGATTACGTAACACCTCTCTCTGCAGAACCCGATCTGTTACAAGGTGACAATGCACTTTCAAGGGGTTTTTGTGCATACAATAAACACTTCGGGAGGGATACTGGTTAAGAAGAATTGATGTCCAAACTGTCTTTACCCTTTTATTCGTCCTGCTTTGTTGTCCTTTTACCATCTGTTACTTATTAGTACTTCAAGAGAAATGCAAAAAATATTCTTTGTATGTGTCAGGGCTGCACAATCAAGGGCAAAATGATTATACAAGTTATACTTAGATTTTAAGGACAGATTATTTCATTCAAGTTTCACATTGAAATACACAGAGCTCTGCTTCTACTTCTATGTTTGGCTGCATTTCTGAAAATGTACAAATCTTTGCAATCTTTCCACTCAGAGCCTAGGGCGTGTCCTCCTAGAAGCAAAATAAAACCGCTCCACATCTTTTCACCCCCGAAAGAAATCAATAGCTTTCACTTCCGCCGTGCTGCGTTCCTGCAAATCTCTGCATCAAAACGAGACTTAAATAAGCTTCTTCTTCTTCACCTGAATTCAGTGCATTTTCATTTCAAAATGATAACAAGGAGTAAACGTGTGTGCACATATTTGACCTATAACGGTTTATTTATTTTATTTTTAATTTAATCGTTTATTTGGCAGGGACAATGCACAGTAATGAACCCTTCAAATGTGTCAAGCGTAACAGTGCTAGATTTAGCTTTGAGCTCGTTTCCATTTTTCACATAAAACATTTAAGAAGATTACATTTGAAAAACATAGCAAAATACATGTTATGCAAAAAGGTGCAAAAGGCAAGAGCAGCATACACAAGTATTTATCACATGGTAATACAATATAGCATCAACGACATGTAAAGTGCAAGATAAGATACAAGTGCTACCTAAAGTGCAAGAGGAGATACCCCTGAGTTAAAGTGAATTTAGCGGTGATCGCACGTCTGTTTGTTTCTCAACTATTCTTTGAGTTGACCTTTAAAACTATTGAGAGTGGGACAATCCCGTATCTGAGTTGGGAGGCTGTTCCACAACGAGCTGCCTTTCACGGAGAGGACATTTTGTCCAAAAGTTGTCCGTCTACGGTGGACTTCACAGTCTCCTCTGGTTTCTGACCTAGTGCAGCTTCCAGTGTGTTTTCTGTGGATAAATTCCCCTAAGGGAGTGGGGGGGGGGGTTAGTCCATGTAAACATTTATAAATAAAGCACATTGGTTATTGTGATACTGTGCGGCACCAGTCAGTGCCTATTGTTTGAGCCCACTGTCCCTTTATGAAGGAATGCCTGCAGCATGTGTTTCTTGTTAGACCTAACAGGCTCTTTTGTAAGCATGCACTTTGTGAAAAGAGGTCCCTCTCTTTTTCCTTTTCCCTCGTAATCAAGACCAGCAAGAAGTTTCATAACTGATCAAATGTTCTTCACTGCTTCTTCACTGCTTGTTTTGTTATAATTTTCAGAGATGGAAACAAGCTGTTGGCTGTTCCCGGCATCCTGTGGGAATGAAGCTCTGTGATTTACAGAGCTTCACTCCCAGCCTTCAACAATGTGTTTATCCAGCTCTTTGCAAAAGCTGCATTGTGGGAAATCTTCAGTTCCGTCTTTCCTAGAACTGCCATTTATACTTAGAACTGAAAAGCCTATCTTTCTAAAGTGTTTGCAGTGGATGCAGTCTTGTGACAGCTGGAGATTCTCCAAACACTGAACTCTCACATGTTTCTCCGCTGAAGTCTGATAATTACTGGAGGGTTGCCAAAGCGTTGTAGGGCTGATTTTGAGACCGTAAAATACAAATATATTTATATAAATAAATGATTACAATTATATATTTGGCCTTCATTTAAGGATGTTTTTTTAAATTAATACTGTTTGTAAGAATGCCCGAGTGGCCATGGAGGCAAAATAGGAGAAGCAGGCAGGTTGGTGTTTTCCCATCCACTGTGACAGCATGGCGGCCCTCCATCACCCACACAGCTCTCAACCACCCTGACTAACAGAAAACATCACCTAAATACACCCAAGACTAATCAAACACACAAGACACAGGTGAGGGGGGAGGAGCCAACACAGGGCACCAGGTGAACACAATCGGGTAATCAGCAGGAGGGAACACAGAGACGACGGGGGTGAACACTTATACAATTAATGCAATTTAATCATTTAATAAATACCACATCACTAAATAGTATAAACTATGTAGTGCAAATATGCAATGCCAAACTGCACTTTGCAATCCCGCCAACAAAGGGCAAACTGTTCACCACTAAAGTGCTGAGTGACATTATTTCCGTGCACAGGGAAGTTGTCGTCAAACCCTGTACAGTACAATGATTATATAAACATGTTAACGAGAGCTCTAGTAACGGCGTCTCGTCGTTACACTGTGTGACGAAGGTAACTTCGTCACTGTGGACTGACGGCTTCGGGCCTTGTACTATTGCACGTGCTTTTATTTTGAAAAGTGTTTCCTTCCCCATGTCTGTTACTCCTGATTCTATTCACCTGGTGCCCTGTGTTGTCTCCTCCCCCCCCCCACTTGTGTCTAATTGCTGATTAGTGTGTGGGTAT